CTGCTGTTTTAGGATGAATGTTCTGAATATATCTGTTAGATCCACCTGTTCCAGTGTGTCTTTCAAAACCTCTGTTTCCTTGTTGATTTTCTGTTTGGATGATCTATCTATAGATGTAAGTGGCATGTTAAAGTCCTATACTACTATTGTATTATTATCAATTTGTTCCTTTATGTTTGTTACTGTTTTATGTATTTGGGCGCTCCCATGTTGGGTGCATAAATATTTACAATCGTTGTATCTTCTTGTTGGATTATCCCATTTATTATTATATAGTGCCCTTCTTTGTCTTTGGTTACAGACTTTGTTTTAAAGTTTAGTTTGTCTGATACAAGTATTGCTACTCTGGCTTTCTTTTGACATGTTTTGTATGATAAATGCTTCTCTATCCCCTCACTTTTTTTTTCTAATAGAAAAATATTGAATTAATGTCATAAGTTGGGTGCCTCGGTGGCTTAGTCGGTTGGGCGTCTGCCTTTGGCTTGAGTCATGTCCCGGAGTCCTGGGATCGAGACCCATGTTGGGCTCCCTGCTCAGCGGGGAGCCTGCTTCTCCCTCTCCCTCTGCCTGCCGCTCCCCCTTCTTGTTCTCTGTCAAATAAATAAATAAAAAATCTTAAAAAAAAATGTCATAAGTTTCAAAACCAAAATTCAAAAACAGTTACTTAGACATAACCTCTAAGTTTCACGATTTCATTGCTTTATAATATTTTGCATTAAGCCTTTCATTCTTTTTTTTTTCAAATTTTTATTTAAATTCTAGTTAAGATAACATATAGTGTGGTATTGTTTTCAGGAGTAGAATTCAGTGATTCATCATTTGCATATAACACCCAGTGCTCAACACAACAAGTGCCCTCCTTAATACCCATCAACCATTTAGCCCATCCCCCACCCACCTCCTTCCATCAAACCTGTTTGTTCTTATTGTCTGGTTCCCTCTCTTTTTTTTTTTTCTCCTTCCCATATGTTCATCTGTTTTGTTTCTTAGATTCCACATATGAGTGAAATCATATGGTATTTGTCTTTCTCTGCCTGACTATTTCACTTAGCATAATACACGCTAGCTCCATCTATGTCATTGCAAATGGCAAGATTTCATTCCTTTTGATGGCTTTATCCCTTTTATTTATTTTTTTTAAGTTTTATTTAAGTAATCTCTACACCTAACATGGGGCTCTGATTCATGACCCCAAGATCAAGAGTTGCATGCTCTTCTGAGTGAGGTGGTTTCTGGTTTAATCTGCAGGTGGTTTGAGGTTTAAAATGAGTCTCTGGCAGGCAACATATACATGGGTCTTGTTTTTTTTTTATCCATTTTGACACCCTGTCTTTTGATTGGAGCGTTTAGCCATTTAAATTCAAAGTAATTATTGATAGATACGTATTTATTGCCATTTTATTAGTTGTTTTGTGGTTGCCTCTGGAGATTTTCTCTGATCCTTTCTTGTCTTTCTCTCATGTTTTGATTTTCTTTAGTGACATATTTGGATTTCTTTCTCTTTATTCTTTGCATGTTTATTAGTGATTTTTGATATATGGTTACCATTAGGTTTATATGTAGCCTTTTTTTCACACAACAGTCTATATATATAAAGTTGATGGTCATTTAAGTTTGAACCCATTCTTTTCTCCTCTCTCCCCCATTTTTAGGTATATATTATTACATTTTATATCCTGTGTGTGTGTGTTCTTGATTTTTTACAGAAATATTTTTATTGCTTTTGTGTTCCCTACCTTTATACTGTCATTTTTGGTCTCTCCTATCCACTCAAAGAGTCCCCTTTAATATTTCTTGCAGGGCTGGTTTAACAGTTTTTAACTCCTTTAGTTTTTGTTTGTCTGGGAAACTCTTTCTCTCTCCTTCCATTCTGAATGATAGCCTTGATGGATAGAGTATTCCTGGCTGCAGACTTTTCCCATTCAGCATTTTGAATATTTTATGCCATTCTCTTCTGGCTTGCTAAGTTTCTGTTGAAAACTCTCCTGCTATCTTTATGGGTTTTCCCTTGTAATTTACTAACTTTTGGCTTACTTTTAAGATTTTTTTTTTATCACTGTATTTTACAAATTTAATTACAGTATGTCTTGGTGTGGGCCTGCTTTTGTTGATTTAGGTGGGAATTTTCTGTGCCTCCTGGATCTGGATGTCTTTTTCCTTCCCCAAATTAAGGAAGTTTTCAGCTATTATTTCTTCAAGTGAATTTTCTGCCCCTTTTTCTCTCTCTTCTTCTGGGACTCCTATAATACAAATGTTATTATGTTTGATGGACTGAGTTCCCTAAATCTATTCTCGTGTTGCATAATTCTTTCTCTCTTTTGTTCAGCTTCATTGCTTTCTATTACTTTGTCTTCTAGGTCATTCATTCATTCCTCTGGTTCTTCCAACCTGCTGTTTATTGCACCAGGTATGTTTCTAATCTCATTTATTGCACTCTTCATCTCTGATTCTTTTTTAACTTTTATCTCTGTGGTAAGGGTCTCACTGATGCCTTCCATTCTTTTCTTAAGTCCAGTGAGTACCCTTATGATCATTGCTTTAAATTCTCCATCAGGCATACTACTTATATCTGTTTTCACTTAGATCTCTGGCCATGGCCTTATCTTGTTCTTTCACTTGGGATAAATTCTTCTGTCTTCTCATTTTGTCTAAGTCTCCACCTGCTTCTGTGTGTTAGGAAAGTCAGTCGTCTCCTGCTCCTGAAAGTAATGGTGTTATGAAGAGATCACGGTAATGTCCAGGGCCTGGCACTTCAGGGAGTGTCTCCAGTGTGTGCGGTGTGCTCTCTGCTATTGTGTTCTGGCTGCTCTATCCTTCAGGCCAGTTGTCTGCACAGGCTCTCCTTGCCTGCTATGGGCAGTGTGTGGTCCTTGGCCAGAATGTGGTGAGTTTTAACTAGGTGTGCTCTGGTCTGTTTGTGAGACCTGTCACCACCACCACCAAAAATGAGGCCCTGCAGAACTCACTGGTTGGAAGAAGTAGTATGGGCAGGAGTTTGTGCTAGTCTTCTGGGGAGGGGCCCACCATGCTGGGACTAAGGTAAGTGTGACTGAAAGGGCAGTTCCACCAGAGTGCAGGGGGATGGGGCTTAGCACAAGAAAGTTAGGCAACCAGTGTCCACACTGTGCTGCTTTCCACAGGTAGCTTTATGTTTATGCTGGGGGCGGGGGAGGGGAAATGGCACTGGCCAGCTCCTTCGTTCCCGGAGAGGAGTCTCCATGAATACTGCCACTCTGGGATACACTCTGAAAAAAGCAATTAGTCTCCCCACCGGGTGCTCCAGGTGCTCTTCAGATCGCTGTTTCCATGCTGTATGCCCGCCCCCGCCCCAGGTTGTTTGCCTACCTTCTCTCCAGCACAGTGCTCTCTAGGCTGTATTCCAGCCAAGTCTGCTGACCTTTAAAACTCCAGGCTTGGGGGCCTGGGTGGCTCAGTCGATCCTAGGATCGAGCCCCACATCAGACTCCCTGGTCAGCAGGGAGCCTGCTTCTCCCTTTCCTGCTCCCCCTGCTTGTGCTCGCTCTTTCTCTCTGTCAAATAAATAAATAAAAACTTAAAAACAAAACAAAACAAAAAAAAACTCCAGGCTTTAAGCCTCACAGGTTGCAAGAACTCACAAAATTCAGCCCCTCTCACTTTCCAAACCAATGGCTACGAGGAAACATTCTCTTTGTGCATTCCCTGTGACTCCTCTTTCCCTCTCTCTCTCCCTTCTGTGCAACCACAGTTACCTCCCCTCCACAGCAGCCAGGATCTGTTTCTCCCCTAAACCATGTCTCCGCACTTCCTACCTTCTTCAACGTGACTTCTTCTCCACCTTCAGTCGTGGAGTTTATTCTGCCAGTCTTCAGGTCAATTTCTGGGGTACTTAGGATGATTTGATAGTTATCTAGTTGTATTCATGGGATAAGGCGAGCCTAGGGTCCTCCTACTCCACCATCTTCCTGTCTCTACAGAATATACTTTCAAGGAGAATAAAAGAGAGTGTGGATTCTATCATTAACTAACTAGGGCAACCTTGGGCAAGCTTCTTAACCTCTTTTGTGGTTTCAGTTTTTTTACCTGGTAAAATAAGAACTGGACAAGGTGGTGTCTAAGGTCCTGTTTCACTCAGGTCATTCATTCATTCATTCAGTTTGAGATTTTTCTATGTATTAGGCACCGTTTTATGTGCTAGGCCTATAGTTAAAATCTCATGGAATTCCTGATCTTAAGGTAGTAATTCTCAAGGTGGTGAGGACTGACAGGTGAGGCAAATTTTCCAAATCGTTTGGGGAATATCTTTTTGAAAATATACTGCCTCCTAGATCTGCAGTCTCATCTCCAGGAGGTAAGCTCTGTGGGGAGCCAGTGTTATTGATAAGCATTTGTGATATCCTTTGTATAGGCTTGGCAGAAAAAAAGGTTGAGAATTAGTGTTCTAAGTGATACAGCAATTCAAGGAGGTGCCAATCATGGGCTCTATTTTGCAGTCTGAAAGGAGATTCATTAAAAGAGCCAATTCTAAGCTTAAGGTAAGTTTGAAAGTACACTTGAATTAACAGCCCCTGATTTATTAAAATCCTATGAACGCTTGTACCAATTAGGTAATAGAAATATTAGAATGCTTACCCATCTTATTTTTGGCCATGATCTCTCCCGCTGAATTCATGTGGCAAAATTGTTAGATTAAAAATACCACTATCCTTCTGACAGTGAGTTTTACTATCCCAGGCCACAGCCAGTTTTCTGTATTTAAATACAAACAAACAAGCAAAAAAAAAAAAAAAAATGATATGATAGCATTTTGGTGATGAAAGACCTGCATATGTATTATTATTCTTTCATGTTAAGAATCATAACAAAATCTTAAATGTCAGGGAGTTTAAAAAAATTTACTTCCATTCTCCTGAAATCTAAGAGTTATAACTAAAGTTCATGCTATAGTAAATACAAAATTACCATAGAAGTGTATATGGATTGCAAATGGGAAAAAAAACAAAACAGAAAACACCTCCAGCTTGACACTGTCAGCATAGAATATTTTATTTTAAACTTGCTGTTCAAACTTTCAAATACAACACATGTGGCAAAGAAACAACAGTTAACACACAACATCTGCCACAATTCTATCTTTGAACTGCCTTTTCTATATTATGTGATATGTTACAATTTCTTTCGATTTCTTACATTCATGGTATTCTTAAAGGCAGCAAATGTCAATTTTTCTGCTTTGAAACAGTTCCATTAATGTTTTGAAATTGCTTAAAATGACAACTTTTTCCTTTTGGTATTCTACTGCTGCCCACCTTAGTGACATAATTCATATTATTTATAGGTCATTGAGAGGTATACTGTACTCAACAAATCAACTCCCAACTCTAAGTTAAAATGAACTTCAATCCAAAACACGCATACTCAGCTACCTTTCTCAAAAATATTTCCATTCTGAAATAAGTTTTTTTTTTTTTTGTGAGATACAATAGTTTTATCTTTTATTCCTAACAGAACTCATGCTGTACTTTTTTTCTCAAAATATATTTGATATATTCTGTGCAAAATGTTAAGTTCTGTATAGGTATGTACCTTATTCTGAAAAAGTTTATAAAATATAATTCCTAAAAACAACCTCAACATTAGACAATAGAGGAAGAAGAAACGTATCAAACAAAGCCTAATTTTTCACATGAGAAAATAAGTATGTTCTTAAAGCTCCAGTAATACATTCCTTGAAAAAACTCAGAATGCACTTTGGTCATTATTAAACATATGAGAACACAGGCAAATAAAACAAATTGCTTTTGTTGTTTTCTACACAAAAAAAATACACTACACAATGAGGCTGAATTGAGGCTGATCAAAAGGAATGGTAAGAGCAAAGAGATATTATGACATGGCTCTGTTCTCTACGCATTCCTGATCTTAAGATTACGATTTGGGGATTAAAACGGCACCAATCAAATAAATCATTTACAATTAATTATTTTAAATTCCCTAAAACATGGTAAAAAATGTGAGGATATTCAACATGATACACCTTGCACCAAGAAAATTCTATACTGTTTCAAATAAATTCTTTGTTTTAGAAACTAGATACCCAGTTTAAAAAAAATTGCAAAAACATTTCATGTTTCATGTAATTCCTAATATATTCTTGATTGTACAAATGTAACAACTTAAAATCAAGGCCCAACGTAAGATACCATCATATTCACTCTATTTACCTAACATGCCAACATGGTAAGTTCTCATTTGGACACTTGGCAAATTGCGGGTGTGTGTGTGTGGTGGTGGTGGTGGGGAGGGGGAGTAGGTAACTTTCCAGGTTAAAAGCATCTAAAATAGCCCTTATAAAATTGGGGGTAAGGGGGATGCACCAGGTTAAGTTTAGAAGATAGAATTTGCAAACTGAAGCTCTTTTCTGAAAATCTGGATATAGTTTTAATAACTAGCAATCAGAGGAATATTTTATTGGTTCTTAACCTTATTCTTAAGTTGTTCATTTGAGTGTGTATACACTATAGTGTACCATGGGGAAAAATTATTTTACTTGAGTAAACATAATGTACTTTAGTAATATCAATAGGCACTTCACTTGTGAGATGAGTGTATACCTCACTCAAAAGGATACCATATCATGCCCTAGTACACTATAACATATCCCATATAAAGATACGCATTTAAAAGTAACAATTTTAAAAAGTGCACATTTTGAGCATGCACAGTTGGAGCTGTGCAAACAGCCCAGTGTTTCAAATAAATACAATTATTACTAGTTAATTTTTATCAAAATATCTTACAGTATGGTAACCATTTACAATTATTGCTCTATTAAGAGTTTTATCATCAAAGAGCACTTGTTGACCTGTTATGTAATACCATATATATTAATACTGAAGGGTGTGTAACTGCAGCTTAATCAGTGTAGATCCTGGCATTGTTCCAAAATAATTCAAAAGAAACCCTGACTGGATCTTGATTTACCAAAGAAGATGCTTCCTGTGTCTAGCTGAGTCCAATGCAATATTCCAAAGTTAAAGAAGTTTTCCTTTCAAGTAAGGCAAGTTCACGGCATTGATGGAGAAACAGTGCTTAGAATGGCTTCTAGTCTCACGATTTGTTATTTTGTCAACTATTTATGAACAATTACCAGGATCTCAAGTATCTGGATATCAGTTTTATCACCCTTGCAACAACTAAGTACATCAATGCTAAAAATAAAATATAAAGACTAAAATAAATGTAAAAAAAAACAGTGAACAAGTAAAATAAATATAAGAATTGCACAAGACAGTCTGATGTAAACACTTCGATTTCCCAGCTGAGACTCCTGAAGCAAAGAGTCAGTGACTGCTTGCAGGCAGCTTAGTTGGTACTCTTATTCTGGAAAAGAGGCTACATCTTCTTTTCTCTGAATTGTCATGATTTAATCTTCCATAGCTAGTGAAAAAATAACAGAAGTAGTAATCATTAGAGTCAGTTTTACTACTGCAAATTACTAAATTACATCACATAATGCTTTTGTTTAAATTTCATTCATAAACAAGAGTAGGTTCTACTATTTTAAACTCCTTTATCCCTGTGTTTTCAAGAATTCACCTTAAAATAAAAAAGTGAAAATCAGATTTCCCCTGCTTTCTTTTACTGAGAAGTAGCAATATATACATACTACTGGTATAATATGAATATGTTAGAGGATGTATGTACTGCTATATAATAAATATCACTTTTAGCTAAAAAAAGAAATAGGGCTCTTCTTTTCCTTTTTTTATCACCTATATTAGATTCAGATTATATAAGTAAAAATAAATCCCTTTACTTATTCTATACAAGAGTCCTATTTGTATGAACACTGTTCCAAATTAGGCATTCCGTCAGCATTATAAACCAAGAATATTATTCATTCTTTGCGTACAGTATTACTAAAATGACTTCATCACTGCGCATAGGTGATCTCTAAAGAGTAATGGGGTAAAATAAATGTCACAAAATGTAACAGGGCACTAAGAAATAAAAAATACCAGGAAGGTCTTACCTTTAAATTAAATCCAAGCAAGTCACTGATAACACCAGAGACAGCTGACAGGATGACAACCTGGGTGATGTTATAAAGCAGTGGATTCATTGTAAGCCCATACAATCTAAAGGGACTGTCCAATTCCTAGCAGAAGAAAAAAAACCCATGAGTCTGGAAACTCATCAGGAATTACCAGTTAATGGGATGGGTTAGCCTGGTGATGGGTATTAAGGAGGGCACGTATTGAATGGAGCACTGGGTGTTATACGCAAACAATGAATCATGGAACACTGCATCAAAAACTAATGATGTAATGTATGGTGATTAACACAACATAATAAAATTTAAAAAAGCAAAAAAAAAAAAGAATTATCAGTTAAACTAATTCAGGGCGATATACAATGAGAATTTTCAAAAACACTTTCAAAAAACAGTTACAAATCATGGGTACTTTTAGAAAGGATAAACTCGATTAAACTTGAAAGAAGTAAATACACTGTGGTTTTTTTTTTTTAGAAGGGATTTTCATTAAAAGAACTCTATAACCTATATTTGTAACTCTAATTCCTGTCTCGAATGAATGACTAGTAAAGTGTCGGTCCAGTAGCTACCAAGGGGTTTGGAAACATTTTCTAAGATAAGAAGAGAAAATGGAAGGTTTTTGGAAAAATCAGAAAATTAGCCAAATTTTCTGCCATTATTAATACATACATACATAAACTTCCCTTTGAGACCATTACTTTTCGAATATAAGAACTGAATGATTCCAAGATTTAATATTCTTTGATTTATTAATTCTCGGATTTACAGTTACAGGGCAGGCCCTGTGTTAGGCTCTGGGAAATTAGGATTCAGTCCCTGTGCTGAAGGACTTTATGGTCTAACAGAAATGCAAAATAAACAATTCAGCTGTGAGCCTCCCACAGAAGAGGTGTGTATGAAACGTACAGGCCCTGGAGGGAGGAGAGAACAGGCATTCCGCAAGACACATGACAACATGGCACCTTTGAATGGCTACAGGTTGCTCCGCATTTGAGAGCCCAGGGGCAAGGAAAGAAGTCCTTCAAATTTATAAAACCACTGAGGTAAGGGTCATTCTTTATGCAGATTGTACTGACACAATGGCACCAGTGGAATTTAATTCGGGGAGAAGTGTATGAGATGTGCAGGTGAGAAAGACCACCGGCAGAGGGGCAGCAACGTGGAGGACCGGCTGGAGAGCCGGAAGACCAGAGGCAGGAAGGCCTTGAAGGTTCAGTGGATAGTGAGACAATGAGGGTCTGACTCAGGGCAGGACTGACAGGGAAGCGGGGATGTACTGGAAACTATCTGAGAGGGTGAATCAATGGGCCTCAGAATTTCTTGGCAGGGAAGAGGGAGAGAGAGGGAACAACCGATGTTAAGTCCCTGGTTTCTGAGTAGAAGACTGTGTACAACTGTGTGTGATCAAAAAGGATCACACTGTTGTGCTCTGTACTTCAGTTATCTCCTATGTCTCTCTACTCGGGGACTGAAACTGCTTCTGAGTCTCATCCTGTCTAGCGTAGTGCCTACACTCTGAAGGTACTGCACACATGAGACAAGCCCCCCGCCCCTTCAGAGCCTTGTCGGTGCCAAATGTACGCTGTGAGGCCACACAGCCCATTAAGACTTTTTAATTGAAGAAATAATCGTAACACTGAGACACAACTAATTCTGTACCATTCTCTGAACACTTGTAAACAACTCTAAGAATTCATTCAACTTGCTATAGAAATTGAGATTTTAAACGACATTTTCCTTTTAAGAAAGAAAAGCATTACCAACACTGCAAAGCAGTGCTAAAAACATTTTATTGAATTACCTCCAAGGAGTTATTATTATGAAATCAGATATTTTGAAATTATATTCTTTTTGATTGTTACAAAAAATGATTTGAAAATTTAAATGTTTACTGGTAATATATACTTATTATAATTATTATGTATTACTACTTTTTAAGCTAACTCAGGCCAAGCAGAAGACTGCTCTCAGAAATACAAAATGAGAAAATTTCCAAGTTAACATTAAATCTCCCTTTTTGAAATCTATTTTAAGTTCTAGGAGGCATAATTTCCAAAGATGCCAACCTCTACAATACTTTAAACATTATTAAAGTCTTAAATTTTTAAAAGTTATTAAAATTTCAAAATGAGATGATTTGGATTACTTTGATTCATTTTACAGTAAGTAAAATGTACATGGCATAAATGTGTTCAAATATAATTTGGAAACAGTTTGGATAATCATAAAAACCAAACACAAGGTAGGATCTGCAAACAGAAGACTCAGTTATAATGTCAGAACAGCATATTCTACATTATATCCATTTTCAATTTCATTTTTACCTTTAGCAGTTTAGTAGCCAGCTTTAAAACATTATTCACTAGTGTCAGTTCCTCTTTTTTGTTAGGTTTCTTCTCCATTTTCAAGTAGAGGTTTATCTTTTTATAAAAAAGGAATAAATAGTTAAAAATACTTACTGCACGGAGCACTGGGTGTTATACAAAAACAATGAATCGTGGAACAACACATCAAAAACTAATGATGTATGGTGACTAACATTAACATAATAAAATTTTTAAAAAATTACAATACTCATTTTTAAAAGGAACTGAAAGACAGGCACTGAAATATTAGTGGTGGTTCTCTGGTTATTGAGATTACAGATGACATTAATATTCTCCTTCATACTATATTTTATAGTCCAAATTCCTACAATAAACATGTTATTTTATAATAAGAAAACAAGGACTTATTTAAATTTTCAAATATAATGAAAGCTGACACAAGAAAGGCAAACCGGATGTCATTATTTAATAATAGGTGAAACACTGTAGTCCCAGAGCAAAAGCAACCTCAAGAATAAGTGAGAACTAGAGCAAAGTAAATCAACTGGTTTGTCTGTTCCTCTCCCCTTTCCCTTTAATCGAGCTCCTGTGACAGGGTTACCGATTTTTAAAAATCAAACTATCCCTGACAAAAACACTAAAAAGGTTTTCATTGGCTGTAAGTTTCTCTGAATAATTCCTATGAAACGGTAAGGAAAATATTAAACAAATTCATACAAAATACAGTTAACCATCAAAATTATTATGCTTTACCCTTCCTACTGAATAAAAATTCATACTTATTCAAATATGGCTCTGCTACACTGCCAAGCAAATATATCCCACTAATGGTTTAAAATTCATCATTTCTATAAATAGTACTTCCTTCTTGTCAAATAAAAGTGAAACAGAAAAACAGCAATGAGATTTGAAATCTGCATCAAGGCAGGAACACTGAAGATGAGGCTTGTGTTCTATCAAATTTCAAGTTTTGTTTTGTAACACAAATGCAATCTAACAGGTTCCTAAAAAATCTGAAGTAAATGAAAAGATTTTTAGTTTAATATGTAGATTATAGACATTAACTTATAACAGAATAAACACGCATTCTCACCTGTTCAGTAAGTAATATTGAGGTATTGCTATATTTTTTACTTGTTTCTGATCCAAGGGTAACAAATCTTAGGAGGAAAAGCGTTAACGAGATGCACCAGATTACTAGCTCCCAATTGTAGTGACAATCAAGGAAGATCTCATGCACATGAAGCAACTAAAAGTGTTATGAAAAAAGCAACAGGAAACAGCAATGTGATTCAAACAATTTCTTTTTAAAAGGAAATAACATTTTATTTCATACAAATGGATCATGAATGTAGTAGTACATTTTAAAAACATTCCACATTTATTATGGAATATTTCAAACACATAAAACATATAAGCAAAACCCATGACTAGAAGTGGGAGAGAGGATAACTGTCCCATTCCTAATTTAAAGTAAATACCCCTAAGGTAATAAATATCATATGAACAATGTTTGCTCTAATTTTTTAAAGATCTACTTTATCAGATTAAGAACATACTTTCCAGTATTATGAATCTCCACTAAAATTCACCAATTTATTTTCTGCACCTGTTGAGATGATCAGATGTTCTCTCCTCTAAAAATCAACTAAAGGAGCTCACGCCAGATTCGGGGATTTTCCAAATTGAAAATCTTTGCATTCCAGGGATAAACTGTATTGGTCATGGCATATTTATTGTTCCTAAGTTGCTGGCTTCATCTCCCTAGTATTTTGCATTGAAGTGAACAAGGAAAATTAGTTCATAGTTTCCCATTTTCATATTGTCTCTCCCGTCAACTGGTATCAAGATTCTTTTAGTCACCTAAAATGAGTTGGGGAATACTCCCTTTTTTTCTATTCTCTAGATATTTTGTGTAGGATTAGAATTAACTGTTCAGGGGCGCCTGGTTGGCTAAGTTGATTAAGTGTCTGCCTTCGGCTCAGGTCATGATCTCGGGGTTCTGGGGTCGAGCCCCGCATCGGGCTCCCTGTTCAGCAGGGAGTTTGTTTCTCCCTCACCCTCTGCCCTTTCCCCCTGCTTGTGTCTTTCTCTCTCTAATAAATCAATAAAATCTTAAAAAAATATAATGAGCTGTTATCTGAATAATTGGCAAAATTCAACTGCAAAACCACGTGGGTCTAGGGGATTTTTGTTGGTGGCAAATTTTTAAACTATTGAATCAATACTGCTTTATAGTAATAGGTCTCCTCAGATTTTCAATTATGTTTTGAGTCAGTTTTAATAAATTATGCATTTGTACAAAATTGTCCGCTGAAGCTTTCAATTTCAACAATATAAAGTAACAATTTATATTAGCATTCTTTTAAAAAAAACTTCCTAACTGTGCCAGTAGCTTATGGTTTAATATACTGTGCTTTTTCTTTTTAAACATTTGTTATTGTACATTTTAAAACTTCCAAATGCATGAGTTTTCTTGCTGCTGTCATTGTTTCCTACTATAACTGCATTAGATCAAGTGGCCTGAATGGTCTCAGCTGAGAATTACTTTGTGTCCAAGTACATGGGAAAGTTTTATAAACTGTCCTTGTGCCTGAAAAAAATATGTATTCTCTGAGTTTAGAACAAAATCTTAACTGTTGCTTACATACATATATTCATTATATTTTTTTATCTGTTTAACCTATGAATTACTGAAAGAAATGTGTTGAGACCTCCTAATGAGGTTTTTTTCTACAATTTCTCACCTTAGTGCTATTGATTTTGGCTGTCTATACATATATTTGAAGTTATATGATTACATGCATGCAAGGTAGGAATTATTAGATCTTCCTGATGAATTATTCTTTTAATTTTTGTCGTTTCCCTTTATCCCTTGTACTTAGACTACAGTCTGTTTCATCTAATATTAATATGAACTCACCAGCTTTCTTTTGCCTGCAGTAGCTTTTTCTATCTTACATTCAAAACCTTTCAGAGTTATTATGATCCATGTGTCTTTTGTTGATAGGCATAGAAAGGTTTTATGTTCCTAAGAGACAGAACTACTACAACATGTACTCCAGGAACATGGAAATTAAATCTGGAAGAAATGGCTGAGATGTGATAAGGAATTGTGAGTACAGAAATCAGTCTTTTCGGGGCACCTGGGTGGCTCAGTCGTTAAGCGCCTGCCTTCGGCTCAGGTCATGATCTCAGGGTCCTGGGATCAAGCCCCACATCGGGCTCCCTGCTCAGCGGGAAGCCTGCTTCTCCCTCCCCCACTCCCCCTGCTTGTGTTCCCTCTCTCGCTATGTCTCTCTCTGTCAAATAAATAAATAAAATCTTAAAAAAAAAAAGAAATCAGGCTTTTCCTCTTCATTGCTTTTATGATTTTTCTCTTTGTTTTTGGTGTTCTGTGCTTCTCCACAGCATGTCTAAGTGTGGATTTACTTTTATTGCTCCTTCTCATTCTTGTGCTTCCTAAATCTGAAATTAGTGTCTTTTATCAATACAGAAAAACTCTTAGCCATTATCTCTCCAAATATTGCTCTCCTTCTTTCCATCTGGAATTCCTACTGGATATTTATTGGATCTCCCATCTGTCTCAATCTCCTTTTCATATTTCCATCCCTTCATCTCTGTCCTATATTCTGGGTAACTTCTTCCATCTCCCATTCACTATTTTTAGCTGTCTTCAATCTGCTATTTATTGTTTATTGTGTTTTAAATGTCAATAACTGTATTTTTCATTTCTCTGAAGTGCTGTCAGTTCTTTTTCAAATCTGTCTGTCCTTTTTCCATAGTGTTATCTATGTCTTTATCTTACAGTTCCTATCTGATCAGTCTATCATCTGAGGTAGCTGGAGATCTAATCCCGCTGTTTGTTGGTCTGTTGACTCACTCACGATGGATTGTCTCTTCACAGTGTTTTGAAACCTGAAGGGGCTTCATCTGTGGAAATCCTAGGAGGCCTAGGTTGAAGTCACATCCCCCTAAGAACCTTGGTTTTATTTCTGCCAAGTATCCAGGTATCCAGGAACCTAGGACCACTTTTCACATTAACTTCTTGACACAGAGGTTACAGGACAAGATCTGTAATGTACATTTTAAACCCTGAACCTATAATAAGTGCTGACCTACAGTTATATATTCTTAGAGGAGAGACTTATCCCCCCTCATTCTTGTCAGTCCAGGCAGAGTCAGATGAGCTTTCTTATTGTCCTCCTGTGCTGGTGAGCAGGCTGTTTTTCTTACTCTACCTTTTCACTGAGACTGTAGTCCTTTAAGGGGAAGCATGTATAAGGAGGTATGCAGGCTGAGGCCTCATTTTCTGTCCTGTGGACATAAAATCTCAAGTCTCTAGGATACTAAGATTGACAATGTACATCATTTTATCTGAGGGCTGCCACAGCATTAACACATATACTTAATTGCTGTTTTTTAATTTTATCTTCATTTTTGGCCCCTTACTGTCTTATAAACTCAGATAAGTCATATGTGTATAAAAAAATTTATATACGTATATTAAAAAAGCTGAGTTTTTTTCTTCCCCCCAGCATTATATAGTGTTTTAAATAGCATAAGAATCTTCAGGTAATCTAGTATGTCATATTACTTGAAATGGAAGTTTAATTTTATAACCTAGACTATCCTGAGATATTTTTGTGCTTCTGACTAATCTTGGACAATGAGAGTTCTTTTTCAGAGCCTGAGGCAGTCAAGTCACAGTGACAATCCAGATATAAAATGAAAGAATTAATACTAAATGTGAATAAGGCAGAGATTCATGAAAAACAGTCGGAAACAATCTCATAATTCTAGTCACTCGTAAGTTTGTTTTGGGAAATAAATTTAGATAACCAAGTGAATGGTGGGTAAAAACTAATTACTATATATTCAATTAACAGACATCTGAGAATATGCTAGTCACTGTTCATACACAGAAATGAATAAAACACATTCATTAATTCTACTGAAAAAAGATAAACTGCAAAAAGTCAATTTTAAAACTTGTATAGGGCGCCTGGGTGGCTCAGTTGGTTAAGCGACTGCCTTCGGCTTGGGTCATGATCCTGGAGTCCCGGGATCGAGTCCCGCATCGGGCTCCCTGCTCAGCGGGGAGTCTGCTTCTCCCTCTGACCCTCACCCCTCTCATGCTCTCTCTCTCATTCTCTCTCTCAAATAAATAAATAAAATCTTTAAAAAAAAAAAAAAAACTTGTATAACTAGGTTTATTATTATTAGAAAGCCTTCTGGAGCTAAATAATTATAGATGTGATTATCTAATTTTTACACATTGGAACAAGTCAACTCACCTGGGCACAACAGATAAACACAACTGATATAGTCAACAAGAAAGCAGATGAAACTATTACATCAACTGATCGCTGAGGACCTCGACGCTGTGGAAAAAAGGGAAAACACTTTTAAATATATTTACTAATTAGCAGCTAATTCCATGCTTTCAATTGAAGTGTTGATCCATCCCTGCAGGTTGATCATAGCTTACAATGTTGAAAATATACCTAATTTGTCAGATGAATTTTAATTACAAAGTGTTACTATTTCCTGAGGATTGCAATACAGTCAAGATGGTGAATACATAGCACAGAATTCTTGGCGTAACTTCCACATTTTTCATTTCATTTCATTCCAAATATTTTGTCAAACACTAATCATTTATTCAACAAATGTTTCTTGAGCACCTGCTCAGAATGGGGCCCTGTGTTAGGTACTGGAAATATAGCAGAGAACAAAACAGACATAGTCCCTACCCTTCACAGGAACTAGCAGGAGGCCAGACATCAAGCTTATAACCACAGATCTTTGTGATCAATTGTAACGAGTGCTATTAAAGGAAAGGTAAAGGATGCTTTGAGAAAACTGGTAGGGAATTTGGTGTAAATATCACTTCCTTAGGGAGATCTTTCCCATTTCACACTCCTAACTCTCAATTACAAGTTAGGAAGATGGCCTGGGAAGATCTCCCTAATAAAGAGGTATTTATGCCAAAATAAGGTGCCAGGGCACGATGGCACATGGCAGTGTTCCTGGCAGAAGGAAAGGCAAGTGCAAGAGCACAAAACAGGAAAAATAATATTGCAATTACAGAACTGAAGCAGTCTAGTGTGGCTGGAATGGAGAGAGGAAAGTGTTTCAAAATGAAAGGAGAGAGAGGCTATCCTCAAGCGCTAGGTCACGAAGGGCACTACAGGCCCTATTCAGATTTTGTTCTTCAGCCTAAGAGCAATGGGGAACCTCCAAAATGTTTTAAGAATTATATGATGAAATCTACATTTTGAAAAGATTGCTGGTGGCAGACTGAGGAATGTATTGGAAGTAGGGAACCGGAATGCAGGGAGGCCAGTTAACAGGCAACTACAGCAGCCCAAAAGCAGATGATTGACAGTTTCAGTTAGGGTGGTGGATATGGAAACAAAGAGAAGTAAATGGACCCAAGATATATTTTGCAAGTAGAAAGGGTGGGAAATGGTGTTAAGTTGGATGTTGGAAATGCAAGAGAGGGAAGTAAATACCAAGGATAATTCCTAGGTCTAGGCTACATGTTTCCCTTGCTGAAATGTAAGCTCCTAAAGATAAGGACTTCCATGTCATCAGTAGTGGATATTACATGGTTAACATTAAATAAATGCTTATTAAATAAAACAAACAATGTACAAAAGAATGCAACACCTACTTAGGGTTGATAATGAGGAGGAATTCCAGGTGGCTTCTTACTAAGCTACATAACAAAAATCACATTCGTCCCTCCATACAACAGAAAAGCCACAGTGGGCAAAAATAATCGAAGCCAATTTTTAGCATTTCCCAATGGAGACTAACAAGTTAAATCAATGAACAGAATTATGAATTTTTTAAATAGAAGGGTTGACAAATAGTGCAAACTTTTTTTTTACTTCTTTCATCGTCACTTCAAAAAAATAAAGATCTAGGTATATCAGAGGGTTTCTGGTCTTTGGGTCAACTTTATTTAAGACCTGATTACTCCATTAATAATGAAAATCATTGTGTCTTAATGCAACAAAGAAATAATCCTCAGAAGAAGTGCTTTCCTAAACCTAATTTAGGTGTTTCCCATCTCCCTCCTGAGTTTTTATATCTTACTTCCATAATTAGGAAAGTTATTTAAAAAGATTAAAGGAAAAGAACAGCATGAGAAAAATGGCTTAGAATTGCAAGCTAATATTTTTAAATAGTAATAGGCCACTTCAGTGAGGCTACTCACTGATTAGTTTTAGTTTTTTTTTAATTCTTTTTTTAAGCAGTGGGCTCCCTCTGCTGGTTTCTGATAACCATTCTAGGTAGAAACAAAATCTTTAAGCTTTTTAATGAGTAGAAGTTGGTGAGATCTACGAAAAAAAAGATAAATGTCAGACCTAAAAAACAAAACATATGGATAAACAAATATAAAGCAGAATCAGATCTATAAATACAAAGAACACACTGCTGGTTGCCAGAGGGAAGGGGGGTGGGAGGACGGTCAAAATGGGTGCAGGGGGTAGGGAGGTACAGGCTTCCAGTCACGGAAGGAATAAGTCACAGGAATAAACGGCAGAGGTTAGGGAATATAGTTGGTGGTACTGTCATAGTGCTGTACGGTGACAGACGGTAGCTACACTTGGTGGTAAGAACAGCACAACACAGAGAGAGGGTGAATCACTATGTTGTACACCCGAAACTAATGTAACACTGTATGTCAATTATGCTTCAATTAAAAAATAAATTAAAAGAAGATATATTTAGGATAATCCGATCTTGAATAACCTACCTAAAACGTATTTAAGCCTTTTATTAAAAATTTTTTTTTAATTTTTTTTTTTTTTTAAGATTTTTATTTATTTGAGAGAGAGAATGAGATAGAGAGAGCACGAGAGGGGGAAGGGTCAGAGGGAGAAGCAGACTCCCCACCGAGCAGGGAGCCCAATGCGGGACTCGATCCCGGGACTCCAGGATCATGACCTGAGCCGAAGGCAGTCGCTTAACCAACTGAGCCACCCAGGCGCCCCGTATTTAAAAGCCTTTTAGACCTCAGGTATTTTACTCTCAAGAACCAGTTTCTGCATATGGACTGAAAAGACCTCTAATTATGGCCACACAGCACCACCCTAGTACACAGGTAACTATACACCGAGATACACATCCATACTGACAAAAAGACTGAAACCCTGAGGGAGTTCGCATGTTAAGAGTACTTTTATCACTGTCATTCTACCTTAAGGTAGGACCGGAGAGATAGCCACATTTTTATATTCTGTACTTTCTTCAACCGGAAATGAGGAACCTCAGATTTTCGAGCCCTCCTTGCCGATGTTAAGTGTCCAAAGAGTTTTGCAAAAAGCAATCGCTAAAAAAGATTAGGGTAAGGATTAATTTTCAAGTAGATTACCATAGAAAAACACAAATTGACAAAATATGTCTTAAAAAAACAAAACAGGAAAACAATTAGCAGGTCAAAATGATTTAATGAAATACTAAAATACTTCAGGAATTCTTTAAATATTATGAAAAGGATAAAATATTCTCTACTCAGAATTCTGTATTATACCCACCTGTTTATAAGTTCTTTCTGCTACACAGAGCAAAAAAAAGAAAATCCACACAAGAGATACACGAACCACAAAGCTTATTATAACCATAGAAAGAACTATGACATCTTCATTAGAACCAAATGCAATCACATAAAGTTCTGAAGCAGAATGTGCTGTGAGTTGTTCCAAGTCTGTAGCTTGGGAGAGTCGGAAAACAAATGGAGTTAAACCCAGGATTAGAGAGATTGCATTTCCAAAAATCTGGTATCCTATTCCTGGTATATGGCTGTTCACCTTTACAGAGAAAGAAAAAATAAGAAAAAAAAAAGTACACAAATTTTATTTACAGTAAAATGAATTCCTATTAACCATTAGTTTATTTATAGGCATATGAAACATTTTGTTAAAATACGAGTTTTAATACATGAATAATGAAATTCAAATTTACTCAAAGTTTGGAGAGCACATTACAGGGAAACTAAGTCATTATGTCTTCAGTTTTAAAAATAGTTCATTATCAGAGTTCTAATTCACTAAACAAATGCAAAAAGATGAACTATCTTGGTCTTACCTAGATCTGGAAAAAAAAATTTTATGTATCTCATTATTTCAAAAGTTAGAAATATTCATATATACTTTAATATTAAAAAGAATGAGGAGATCTCATATCCACTTAAGCTCAGTTCATAAAAACAAAACTTCTAAATTCTACTTATTTGATAAATTTGCAATTTGTGTTTTCCTTCAAAGAGCACAAAATACAAATGGATTTCTCCTTAAACTCTAAAACCATTTCAGAAGACAGAGTATGTTAGAGGGGGAAAAATTAAGAAAAGGGGAAAAGGGGAATTACAGAAAAGGAAATTGGAAATTAAATAATGGGAAATATAAGACTGGTAGGACTATGAGGGATCTTAAATCCCAGCTAACTTTCAATCATCATATTATACATTCTGTAAATGACCTGCTGGTTCACAGGCAGTTAAGGTATGGAGAACTAATTAGAGCCAAATCTCCAGAGACTCCTTCTGCATTAGTAATAGGAAAGAGATCAATTTCTAGAGCAGTTACTTTCATTTCTGTCCTCCAGAAAGTGTGCACCATAGTTCTCACACAACGAACAACAGACAAGAAATTTAGAATTGCAAGTTAAATCATGACTAGCTTCCAGAGGAATCAGATAAAATTTAAAAACTGTGTCTGATAAAAGACACAATTTAATAGAAATGGAAATTAAAACCCATAGTGTTTGTACTCTACCTCCTCAAACTACTCACGATTTTTACACCACTAGCTGCATTACTTCTATATATTTAAGCAAGTATCAAGACAAATATTCTATTTTGCAATTTTTGGGGTACTAAGAAATAAATGAAGCAGGAGGGATGACACAGGAGAAAATAAGCCTTCATCAACACTTGTGTGTCTAGCAGCTCCTCAGTTTGATCCATGAAAAGCAAAAGAAAGAATTAAACACAAAAGAAGGAAATTTTAGATTGCACCATCTACTCTTGGTGAGAAGAATGAAAACACTAAAAGATGACAGTGGTTTGGTGATAAATCACTATTTAAATCAGAGCGCCAAATACAAATAACTGTCTTTTTCAGGCTGAAGAAATGAGTAAGTTGTAAATATAACCTCCTAGTAATTATTTAATGTATTAATAATCACTGTCTTATTCTTGAACTAAAAGAATAGAATTTAAAAACTCACTCTGTTCATTATCATTCCGCTGATTTCAAGCACGGACATGTCTGCTTTCTTACAGTCATTGCCTTCCCACACTATAGCACTGATTTTTTCTAATCCTGGGTGGGAACTATGGAGCCAGGGCAAATGACTCTACAAAAAATAAACAGAAATAGGTGAATACATTTGTCACATTTCATAAATAAAACGTGTGTGTATATATAAACTACACTAAAAAACAAACTGGTGAATACACATATTTTATAAATAGAACACGTATATATATATATATATGGGTATATGTGTATCTACACACACCCAACATCAGTGACATTAAAATTCCATCTTAATGTTAATTAGCATATACATTGAGCAGATGGCATATGAAATTACACAGTTATAAAAAGCATATAAGTGGGCGCCTGGGTGGCTCAGTTGGTTAGGCGACTGCCTTCGGCTCAGGTCATGATCCTGGATCCCGGGATCGAGTCCCACATCGGGCTCCCTGCTCAGCGGGGAGTCTGCTTCTCCCTCTGACCCTCCCCCCTCTCATGCTCTCTCTATCTCATTCTCTCTCTCAAATAAATAAATAAAAAATCTTTAAAAAAATAAATAAAACAATAAAAAGCATATAAGTTAAGAACTTCCTGTAACATTACAGTGTTAGTTAGGCAAGCTATTGTTCAAAAATCCTCTAAAATGTGTCAGCAAAAGCACTCAACTTGTCAATCTGTCTACATAGCTACTAATATACTAATGTTCCAAGACAAATGGCTATCAATTTGTTCATATTACTGACTCTCAAGCTTATGGTCATTCAATACAAAAGCACATGAGAGGTCTGTTTAACCTTTTGGAAGACCAAACGGTGACACAATCTCATCCTGAAAGAGACTCTCCCTCACACCTTCAGCCTCAGTATTTGATTTAGTTACTTTTCTGATATTTTAGTCTAGCCATTCCCCTAAGGATCGATTTAACTTTTTTTTTTTCGTTATAAATATTGCAACCGGAAGCACATGGAACTAGAAGTACTCTCCCAAGAATAAAACACCTCTCAATGTTGCAAGAATAGAAAAAGAAAAGAAAAATTGAAAGCCTTAATACAAATGATCAGACACTTAAGTTTGGGGTTTTTTGTTTGTTTTAGATTTATAATTTAAAAAATAAAACTGCAGGGCTCCTGGCTGGCTCAGTCGGTGGACTCTTGATCTCGGGGTTGTGAGTTCGAGCCTCACATTTGGGTGCAAAGATTACTTAAAAATAAAACCTTTAAAAAAAATAAATAAAACTTCAAAATAGGATAGTTGGGGATTAAAGATAGCAACAAAATTAATAGAACACTAATCTTTACATTGTCAGATATTGATAAAAGAAGTTACCATTAGAAGATTAGACCCCAAATGGGATGACTCTATTTATATTACAGTATTGCTAACTTATTTATATAATGTATTTCATTAAAATAACTTCTAACAATGAACAGAAGAATCTACTATAGTTATATTTATCCTCTGAAGAATAAAAATGTGATTAAAATATGGTAAAGATTTTTGGAAAACTTAAGAAATATAGTATTTTCCTGTAAGGAGAATAAAATTGTATTGATTCATTTTGATTAAAGATATAAAATAATACTTTAATAATATGTAAGAAAACAGATATGGGAAGTTATTATCATTCTGACTTATACATTAACTTTCTTGATGTAATGCCAGTAGCCATATTATTGGCAAAGCTCTTTTACATTTAGTTTATTTGACTCTGAAGAAGTTTCCTCTTAATATTTATCTTTTTTCCAAAGATTAGTACTTTAATATACATTAACCATCACAGCATATATTTCACTACTGGAGAGCCTTAAAAACTGTAAGATACTAGTTATTAACTATCCACTTAATTCCACAAATATTCCACGAAATATTCTAGCTAGCATAGAAGTAATTTGTACCAAAACACATATCCAACTTTCCATGGAAATCTAGGTGATTACGAAATGGAACGGAACTACAAAGCCAGGAACAAGCGGGACAAGCTGAATACAGAGTATGAAGTCTGAGAGGCAAGGTTTCCACCCCTGATTTACAGGCTCCTAATCTTTTTAAACTCTCAGTCTGTTAACAGTGAATTAAAGGCTTCCCGATTACATGAAGCAAGGCATATCAAGAAGGTCCATCTAGAGACAGAAATAGGAATTCAAGAAGTTCTTCACCCTCCTTCCAGAAGTATTCATTTTGCCCAGCTACCTTTGCAGTTACTCTAACTAGCATTTGATATCATCTTCCTATTTCTAGAAAGCCAGAAGGCAGGAGAAAAAAGAGCAACTAGAAACTGGTGAATTTAAAAAGAGTTAATTGAAAAAAAAAAAAAAAACAAACCAACCCTGTATCTGTGTGTGTGAAATATATTCTGAAGTAACAGTCTTGTTGAAACATGTACTGCCTACAGTGTATGAAGAACAACATTACATGAAACATTTTTCAAAAAGGCTCAAGGAAAACAGAGCAAATAATTCCATTTTATAATTTTATCACATAGGTTCTTCTTAGTGTTTTTCAACCCCAAATTTGGAACTCTTTTAATGATTGTTCTTTATCCTCATTCAAAATCTCAACTGCTTTGCTCTGTGTTCATTCAGAACTGCCTGAAAACCTTAACACTTAAATGATGGTGTGTTTTAAGTAAATTCACCATGACAACTGCTTTATTGGAGTTTCTACCTGTGGGAGCTGTACACATTAAAATCTGGCTTTTCCTACTGAAAAATGAATTTCACTTGAACATGGCCTCATACTTCATTATATACTCAGCCATGATTGAGGAGAGAAATTTTCTGCTGTAGAAATGTTTCAGTTACTATTGCCAAAGAAAATAAAACAAAACAGGGGCGCCTGGGTGGCTCAGTCATTAAGCGTCTGCCTTCAGTTCAGGTCATGATCCCAGGGTCCTGGGATCGAGCCCCATGTCAGGCTCCCTGCTCCGCGGGAAGCCTGCTTCTCCCTCTCCCATTCGCCCTGCTTGTGTTCCCTCTCTCGTTGTGTCGTTCTCTGTCAAATAAACAAAATCTTTAAAAAAAAAGAAAAGAAAAAACAAAACAAAACAAAACTACAAATTTGGTAACATCCTGACTAGAACACATGGATTCAAATGCTCATTGTTTCTTCATAATGAGGGATTTTTTAGTCTTTATGGTGGGTAGAAAACGGTCCTCCAAACCTAATACAGACCTCAGTCAAATAAGAAAAAAAACTGGTAGCTTTTCATTAAAGGGAGCTAATTTCCATTACATGGCTACTATTAAAACTGAAAATACTGAGGTTATTTTTTAGAAGCCTGAGAATACTAAATGTGTGTAAAATCAAGTCTTTAATCCAAAAGCAAAACCAATGTAAGCCTATGATACTAAAATTAATATGCAGACTAGAACATTAAAAATCTTATCAAAAAAGGAGCAGAATGGTGATAGATTTAGGGCCAATTTATTCTGTACAGCATTCATTAAAAAAATGTTATTTCCTTTCATTCACTCCATTTTATTTAAACACCTACTATGTACCAAGCACTGTGTGATTCAACAATGAGCAAAAGAACACCTGGTCCCTGCTTCTATGCCTCTTTATGGTATCACTGAGAAAATAGCTCTCAGGCATTTTCTGAAACCTCAATTCCAGTTATTATGCTCAGCGACGCAGATGAATCTCCAGATGACTCATCCAACACCCTATTCTCATGGATTGTTCATTGTTTTCTTTACTTCTTAAAATCCAGGGACCTTCAGCTACTCCCATGGCCACAGCCCGGATCTTGTCAAAACACCGAATTGCTCGACTTCTGAACTGAGTCTTCAACCACAACTCCTCTTACCGGGTGTCTCAAACCTTCAATTCTAAAACACTTCTGAACACATCTATCCTTCAATCTATCAGTCCTTTCTTGGTTTCATTTCCTTCTCAATCTAACACGTCTAGATGCTTACCATATCCATTACTTCTTGGCCTCTCCTGTACCTTGAATTGCAACTATTTATTGAGCACCTACACTGTGTGACTTTGGGTGCATTATTTAATTCCAAGCCTCAATTTTTCTCATCTACAAAATAAATATATACAAAATACATTGCATTGTCATAGGTTGTGAGAATTACATGACATAATGCATCAGGATTACTATGCACAGTGCCCGGCTGATAGTGAATGCCTTTTAAATGTTTGCTATTACTGATTACCGCAACTGTGTTCCACAGAGTATCACACAACTGTGTGGATTGGACAACCACAAACTCATGGTTTCAGATTCCAGCTGGACCCTCAACAATATGGCAGTGTGACTCTTAATGTGTTCATTGACTTGAATACATGCGCACACATACTCTCCATTTCCCACAAATGGTAACTCCGAGCCTTCACCACCATCTACAAGCCCCCCAATCCTATCATCTCACTTACTGTTAATAGACCTCCTGCATCCTCATCATCCTACTTTCTCTGTGCACTTCCTCCTCCTATCTCAGCAGAAGATGTGTTCTCCTTCCCATCGAAGGCAAAACTTCCTAATTATGCTTCCCCTCCAGAATCTTAAGAAATCTCATTCAACAACTTTTTCTCCAGTGTGTCTTCAGTCCTTCCCTCCTGATTTTCCCCTACGTACACATATGCTTAACTATCTCACATCTCAGGGCGATGGGGACCACAACATTCCCTCAATTCTATTTCCCCATCTTTTAACAATGTTTATGGCTTAATTTGTAGCCCAAAATTTTAAATTTCAGGATATTCAAATTTATCAATCCCTTCATTTTTGATGTTTGCTTGTGTTTTTTGTATCTTCTTTAAAAAATTCTTCTCTTGAGCGTGGAGCCTGCTTGGGATTCTCTTTCTCCCTGCCCCTCTGCCCCTCCAACCTGCCACTCACCCTCTCTGTCTAAAAAATAAAATAAACTGAAATAAAATAAAATAAAACATAATTTCTTCTCTTATCAAGAGTAACTAAGATTTTTCTCCTTTATTTTCTTGAAAATATTTTAAAGTTTGCTTCTTCACATTTAGGAACTATTTGGAATATATTTTTGTGTAATCATTTGACCTACAACTATATACTGAAGAGTCCATCCTTTTCCCACTAGCCGTAATGCCACTTATGTCATATATTAGGGACCCACAAAGACACGTATTACACTTCAGGGTTTTCTATTATGTCCCACTGGTCTATTTGTTTATACACTACCTTGGTCTGCTTGGGCTGCTGTAACAAAATACCATGGACTAGATGGCTAAGAAACAACAGACGTCTCTTTCTCACAGTTCTGGAGGCCGGGAAGTCCAAGATCAAGGTGCTGGCAGATTTGGTGTCTGATGAGATCCCACGTCCCGGTTCACAGACTACCCTCTTTTTGCTGTAGGCTCACATGGTGGGAGGGGCAAGGGAGCTCTCTGGGGTCTCTTTCCTTGGGCACTAAACCTATTCATGGGCGCTCCAACCTTACGACCTAATCATCCCCCAAAAGCCCCATCTCCAAATACCATCACCTTGGGCATTAGGTTTCACCATATGAACTGATGGGTGGGAGGGGGTAGGCACAAACATTCAGGCCATAGCATACAACTATAATACCATACTATCTTTATTAATTACTATACTTTTAAAGTAAAATTTTATATCCAGTAGGGAAAGTCTCCCTGTTTTTCTCCAAAATTGTTTTAGTTATGCTCAACATTTTGCTCTTTACTGTGGACTTTAAATCAGTCTAAGTTCAACCAGACAGACAAACATAACTGGTAGGATTTTGATAGAAAAAGCAGTGATAATGGGTATCTCTGACATGTTTCTGCATTTAACAGAAATACTCCTAAAATTTCATTATTAAATATGATAGGTTTTTAGAAGGTTCTTTGGTAGCTACCCTTTAGCAGATTAAGTAAGCTCCCCTCTAACTTTAATTTTCTAAGAGCGTAGTTGTTGGTTTAATTATTAGGATTTGATGAGAAATTACGTAAGAGAAAGAAGAGGAAGAGTGAGGATTTTAAATGACCATGGGTTTCCGGACTGGTGACTGGATGGATGGAGATGTCATTCACTAAGATTTTGAGAGCCATAAGAAAAACAAATTTATGAGGGAAGATGGGGTGTTTGGTTAAATTTGAGATACTGGTGGGAGATTCAAAAAAAGATACGGCATAGACATGTGCTGTGCAATATGGCACCCTACTCACACATTGCCACTAAGCACTTGAAAAGTGGCTCGTCCAAATGAGATGTGCTATAAAGGTTCGCAACAGATTTTGAAGATGTAGTATAAAAAAAGTAAAATATTTCATTAGTATTTTTCACACTGGTTATTTGGTGAAGTGACAGTATTTTGAACATATGGGGTTAAGTAAAATATATTAAAATTAATTTCACCTTTTTAAACATTTTAAATGAGGCTACCAGAAAACTTAAAATTACATAGGTGACTCTCATTAGACTTCTGTTGGAGAGCATTGCTAAAGCTCTTGGGAGATATAAATCTGATATTCATGAGATATAGATTTGTGAATTATAATCTTATAGGTGGAGTTAAGGCCACGGGTGCTGATCCATGAAGTATGCTGAGTGAGAAAAGGACTAATGCATCTAAAACACAATTTGACTTATAAAACTCCATTTACCAACAACTCTCAGGAACATACGTTTGCAAGGTGACAGACAAAACCATAATATAAATACTGAAATTCTATGTTCCAATGAAGCCAGACCACAGCTCACATAAAAAGAAAAAAAAAAAACAAAACACCCACAGGAATTCTACTTTAATTGAATGTAAGCTTTTTTTTCACCTCTGTAAAATTTGTACATACATTCAAAAAAGCTGGACTGAGAGCCCCAAATAACCCAATGCTGTAAACCAACCTGATGAAAAGGGTCGTCTCTATATTCTTTTTTCACACTTGGATTAATTTGAGGATTTTCCATATCTGTCTCACTGGTACAAGATGACCGGCATTCTGCACAGTGTAATAAGTCTTCCCATAATACATCTTCTGTTTCAGATTCTGGCCTTGTACTCTCAGAATCCTGTCTGGAACTTGAACAGCGAGAGCTGCAACTAGTACCCGATTTAGGGGCATCCTGAAATCAAGATATTCTTTGACATTAATACAATTTATGTACCCTTTCCAACTCAAAGGGTTCTATCAGAACCATACATTGCTACTTTTTTGCTACAACAACAAATACACCGTCAAATGACAGTGGGACTGAGAGCAAAACATTAAACATGTTAGTTTTTAAGGAATAACAAAATTTCCTCATATCAAAATTTATTTGATTTCCCATCTCAGCTCAAGTGTTGTTTTGCATGCAAAGGTTGTGCCTGTTTCCTCCTAAATTTTTATACAAAGTTCAAAATTCAGGAAGGCAGAGATTAGCCTAAGTTCATATGGCTATTATTTTATCAGTATATATATTGGTATTATATTATCAGTGAATATTAACCAACTTTAACTGATGTGTTTAATGGAGTTATTTTCTTACTCTAGTCTTTTTTTTTTAGCAAGAGTAGATCTCATATATTTACTGTTTTTGTTTTACAAACGTAAGTTCAATAAATTGATGTAAAATTAATAAATAATCTATACCAGGAAGATAATTGCCAACTCATACTTTTGAGATAATCTATGGTATAAAAGTGAAAAACTAAAAGGCACAAGTTAAATAATTTCTAATCAATTTACTTTTTTCCTAGGAGTTGTTATTGTACAAAATAAATACTTTGAGTAAAAGTTTGATTTAATAATTCAAAATAACTTTTACTGAATAAAGAATGGTAATAGCCATCCTTACAGCCAAGTATGCTGAAATTTTCAGATTTGTTTTTAGTTATCCTCTGTCACTAAGTTTGTCAATTTTGCCTTTCAAATGTTTTAGATGTATCCCTTTCTTCTTCTCAGGATATCATCAGAGTTCAGACTTTATCATCCACACCTTGTTTGCTATAAAGAGCCTCCTAATTGACCACTATCTGAAAGGCCTTTCCTATTTTCCAGATGAATCTTCCTAAAGGGAGCTTTTTTTTCACTCCTCTGACCAAAGTCCTTCTGTGACTGACTTCCACTGCTCTCCTGGATAAAGTTCAGATTCCTTCACCAGCAAGCTTGTCTTCAAATGTGCTACTTTTGGGCTCTGTTCTCCACTCGTCCCTACCATAACCCTCTCCTCCAGTGACACTGGGCTCCTCCCTAGCCCCTAAACACAGCTTGTTCTTTGTCCCTCTAGACTCTGATTATGTGTCTACCTTGTATCCTACTCTCCTTTACAGCCTACTCAACCAAGTGTCAGGAAAACACCATTTCTATCCCTTTCTAGCTGGCTTACCTTGTCTCTGACCCTTACTTTAGTCTTCTGGCAATGGGGGATAAAACTATCTATCTTAAAGACACTGAAAATTAAATGAGCACTGTAGCTTTTAATACAAACCAGGTACAAAGCACAGGCTCCACAAATGTTAGTTTGGAAGCCTTCTATTTAGAGTGATCCCTTTGTTCCTAAAGGGAGGTTATTATTATTTATTTCCATGATGATACATTTTACATTGCTGTTCAGCATCTATAATATTGTCTGTGTTATTAAATGTTCATGTATTTAATATTCTCAAATAAGTCGTAACTCTCAAATGCACTGTAAGTCAACAGAAGACAAAAACCAATTATTTTTTGCCACTCTTACCATATGTAACAAAATATCTTGAATGAATGAGACAGGTGATTGATAATTAATTTATTGATCTTAGAATGGGGCACCATGAATATAATATTTAGTGTGTTGATTAGGGATTTATTTATGGGAGGAGAATTATCTGTTTGAAGGAGAAGTAAAAATGTTTTGAAAGAGTTGAGCAAGAAAGTAAGTAGAGAAATAAAAAGAAAAAAAATTCAGAAAGAAAAAAGGTAAGAATCAGTCTGCTTTGTTTTATAAAAAACACTCCAAAAATGTTTGATTCACTAACGTCAACCAGAATACTTGAAGCATACACAGTTTTTATCACAACTGTTTTCATTAGGTAGTAAGGCACAGAAAGAATTAAGTAACCAGTAATTGATAATTTAAAATTTTTGAAAAAGCTAGCTTATTACCTATGACTAATTTCTGATGCAGACTTGCTAATCAGATACAGAAATGAGTAACAAGATTAAACACCTGATAATTATTTAACTGAAACTAATGGATGATTTCAGGGATAGGAAGCATCTTTAATTCTTTGTAAAAGTATTTTGCCAAATACTGATTAAAAAATGGGCCACTTTACAAATGTAAAATCTAAAAATTATGACCTATAACCACTTACATGTCAAACAGAATTTTACCTGCCACATTTAGGTTATTAATGGCCACTTTGAATTTCACTAAAAATTGCTGAAAAAAGGCTAAAAATTGGGAATTTTTGAACTAAAGAATATAGCTAACAGCTCATTTAATTTGCCTTGGTCTGCTTATTTTAAATCTTTAGACAGATAGCTAAAACTGAGCATATAATCAAATTAAGGGGAGAAAAATTATTTATTTGAAGGAATTAAGAATTTACAACATAAATGCTTTGTGCCAGGCAATTGTGCATAATCTTATTTAATACTAACAATCTGAGGAAGCTAGTCTCCTCTCTCCACCATACAGATGCAGAAACTGAGACTCAGAGAAGTTAAACAATTTTTCCAAAGTCACTTAAATGTTCTGAGTCTAAGCCCATGGTTTCTTCATTATGCTTCCCATCAAATGCTACCTTCATTAGATGAAAAGCTAATTTTCAATAGGGAATAAAAATTGAAAGATGCTTGTAGAGTTAAACAAAGCAGGAGAAAGTAGGAAACAGGGCAAATGCTTAAAGGAAGTTATCAATTCCACAGGACACCTCCTATTCCAGATAATCAAGTAACTCCACCACCATCTTCCCAACAGGAGACTATGAGAAGAAAACCAGATATACACAGCAGATAGCAGAAAAAGGCAAGAAACTGGGGCAGGGGTGGGGGTGGGAGGAAGGGGAGTTAAGTGAAAGTCTACACACTAAATGACAAGATCGCCACCTCATCCCCAATCCCCTGGATGCCAAACACTATGGCAGCCTAGTATAATATCTACTACTCCCACACCACCAGAAGATTGGATGATTCTCCCTGAAAAACTAAAAACCCCTAAAAAGTATATCTATAGATACTGACATATGGGAGGCTTATAACAAGTGGCTGTGTCCCTAACCAGTCATTTTATAGGAAGACCATGAGTTCTACCCAGGCACAAAGTGCTTTCCCAAATGCTTTCTTTGTGTCTCACTCTTAAAGAAAAAATATCACCAGTAATTTGAAGAGAACAGAATAATACATACATAAAGATGTCAAACAACAGTACAACACTACCCATATCCTGTCTCAATTTTACTTCTTCAAAGGAGTTTTTGTTTTGCTTTTTAAAACTACCCTGTGAGGCTGGCTTGATTTGGGAGAGTCAAAATTTTCTTGAACTGAAATGCACCTTTTAAGATATTTTCTAGTCTAAAGCTTCCTACTTTGCAGATAAAGAATTTGAAGTCCAGGTTTTAATTGTAGGTAATTTTTACATCATTAAAAAAAGATTTAA